ATGAACAAACAGCACATGACAGATGTTAGCCATGTCATTTCATGCATTACTGGAAGATCCTCAGATACAATGGTGATGAGCACAGTATAAGAACTGATAGAGAATAAAACAGAAATTCCCCATTTGCAGTGAAACTCAGTGCAGCTCCGCTACATAAATCCAGGGCTTTGTAACAGAATTTAGGTCTAAAGTGTTTTAGAATACCAGGGGCCTAACTAATAGGTTTTGGATCTGGTTTTGCAATGTAAAGGGCAGACAATAGACAAGCACGTGGGGGAAAGTGGGGGCCCTTTTGCTGGATCTGTCCCTCCATCCGTCACTGCCCATGTTTTAATGCACAGTCATTCTGCTCTGGAGAGCGGCTGACATTTGTTGTCCTAAGCAACAAATACTGCAAAGTATCCCATTTGCTTCTTCTCAAGGCCTCCCTGAGCGATCAGCTGTCCCTGTTAGGTCAGAGCAAGGTTTGCCCCATCCAGCTAGGAGGATGTGCATTTTCTACATGGCACAGTGAACAATGTGGAGGAAGAGTTACTCCGTGGTTGCTGAAATTGGGGTTGAACATCTCTGCTAGATGACCTCTATTTACAATAAACAGAACATGGGGGGATCATTCAGTGCTAAATTTAGCACTAGGCAAACACCCGTGATACATTTTGCATTTATGTATAATACAATTCTGAGTAGGTAACACCATTGTGAACACCTGTGCATTTATTCATAGACCAATATGGCAGGGGGGAATGGTGTCTCACATTCATGGAAACATGCATAAATATTACAACGACCCCCCAGTATATAAGAATGGTTCAAAGGTTCCCACTACCAGCCTAGAAACATCCAGCTTCAAACAGCACCCGAGCAACTGCAACTTACCAAAGAGAAATGGCTTCAGGTACCTTTTTATATCTGAATTGTAAAGTATTGTGAACATCAGTGCAGGCTCAGGATAGTGGGACCCAGTGCAGAGAGAGGACAGTATTGCCGTGTGCAGTGTAAACTCAATGTCTATGGTAAAAGATGGGACATTCAAACCCGATAAAGGAAATATGTTTTCACACAATGCGTAATTAGCTTGTGGAACTCATTGCCACAGGAAGATGTGGAGGCCAAGAATTTAGCAATTTTAAAAGGGGATTGGACATTTCTATGGACACAGGAATATCCAGAGTTTTAACTTCTATTACTAACAAAAATTATGAAGGCATACTAAATCTGCTGCTCCAGGGCTTAAGCCAATCTCTAACTATTAGAGACCAGAACCTATATGTGGGGGCAGATTATTTCATACCTGCTAATGCAGGATCCTTGCACCTGGTGCAGCTGGTGCTGGGCAGTGTTAGAGCCAGGATACTATACTAGAGGGGCCTCAGGTCTGATCCAGCGTGGTGATTTCTGTGTTCCTAAGCAACAGGGAGGTTATCATTTTAATCACACAAAAGTCAGGAAGTTCTATGTTATGGTTTTTAAAGCTCAGCTCCATTACACTAATCCTAAGGGTGGCCAATGTAGAGGGGGTTGTAAGCTTGTTGGGGCAGGGATCATCTCTGCTGTGTTTGTACAGAGTCTAGCACAAGGAGGTCCTGGACCATGACAGATAATAAAACAGCTGGTTTGCTGGGGCATGTGGGTATGTTCAGGGGTGCTGGAGCAATAGGGCATAGCTGCCCCCATCTAGCACATCCACACCCCTGCTGCAAAGGAGACTTGCTCCACCCCTCGCTGATCCCCATCCCTGCAGCTGCCGGAGGTCAGCATCCCCTGGGATAAATCCTGCCTGGCTCCCTGCTGATGGAGTAGGTCTGGCAGGTGGCTCTCTTCCCTTCGTCAGCTCCTGGGGGGGCGCTCTCATTCAAGGAAGGGGAGTGAGACTGCAGGAGACTAATGAGACTCATTTACTCCACTCCCATCTCTCACCTTAAACTCATCTTCAGGCTCCTAAGGGTTAAACCCTGCTCCACATGTGCCAAGAGAGCAAACCTGTCAGTTTTGGAAGACAACGCTCTAGTGGGTGTTTTCCCCTTTTCATTAGCAACATGTATTTACTCCGATTCCAGGTGTTTTGTCTGGGAACATCCTTTGTTCTGGGCTCAGTGACACCTTGTGTTCACTATGGTTCAGGATATACCCTGCTGGTCTGGCCCAGCCCTTAGCTCTGCCCCGCCTCACCCCCGCTCTTCAAGTTTTATCTCCTTTCTCAAGCCATATACACTTTGTCTGGTCTGGGGACCTCCACGTTCAGATGCCGGCTGATCTCAGATACAGGGATCGTTGCCGGCTTTCCATGGCACTGCATTGCTCTGATCAGCAGAGTAGCTCAGCCTATCAGGATGCTGGGATGCCTCTCTGGGAAATAATATATGGAGATATACCTATCTCATAGAGCTGGAAGGGACCCCGAAAGGTCATTGAGTCCAGCCCCCTGCCTTCACTAGCAGGACCAAGTACTGATTTTGCCCCAGATCCCTAAGTGGCCCCCTCAAGGATTGAATTCACAACCCTGGGTTTAGCAGGCCAATGTTCAAACCACTGAGCTATCCCACCCCTTGGTTTGTGACAGTCTGTGGTTTTGTCTCGTTTGAGGAGCCCGTGATAGTTTCACAGGTATGACTGACAGACACTAATGTAATTCCCCCCTGGGAAAGCTGAGCAGTAGTGGTAGAGCAGGTGCTCTATGGTGGTTCACAAGATATCAGACTTCAGGCATCCCATTATTCTGACTATGCCTTTATCACTCCACTTCAGTTCTGAGCTGCTTTTTGAGGCCCCTCTCTCAAGAACTCAGGGCTAAAAACAATGCCTCATGCAACCTGGCAGACTGGAACCCCAGGGTACAAAGCAGCATGGACAGGTTTTGGGGATGGAAACGAAGGCTACAAATAACTGCCGCTATTTTGCTCCTGCAGTTATTCACACATGATTTAGATCACCCAGACGTCTATGGCCATAATACGTGGAATAATCAATGGCTCGGGTGTCTAAGTAACACAAACTGTGGGGGTGAAATTGTGCCCCAAAATATTTGCACCTGAAAAAATGGCAACTAGGTGAAGACCAACCTGTACGTGTGCGCATTAATCCCTGACTCAGGGAACTCATGAGATCTTTGCCTGCTACAAAGTAGCTGGAACTGAAGTAGAAGGAAGCCAGTCCTCGGAATGACCAGTTTCTGAAGCCTGGCTCGTCTCATCTGTTATTGTAAAGACTGTGTTCATTATTACCAAATATTAACAATGCAAGATTGCTCAGTAATTTCACTTACCCGGAAATGTTTATATTTGTCCCTCACTTACTGTTCCCATGCCCAAAGAAGCCATTTGAGAATCATGATGTCGGGGGATGAGAATTTCCTCTTTTTTATGAGGAAATCCACACTCAACTACACACTAGGAGAAAGGTGTGTTCTTCTCTGGTGTTAGCTAACTAACACAAGGGAACATCACAGTGAAGCCAATGCCATGTATAGTTTTCACACACATTAGCAGGTTGAGGTAAACACAGTTAACATATGTTAATCCTACAACTGGCTAGTCTTCACTAGGAGTTTACCTCATGTTAGTCTATACACCCTTCTTCTGAGTGCAGACAAGGCCTGATGGAGAAAATGTTGGACACCATGGGGGAGGGATGATGAAATCTCTTAGGTTTCATAGGACCACGAGGGCTCCTCCTCAGCCGGGAAAGAAGAACAGCGACGTCCAGAAACAATATCAGCTGCATAAGACTCAAAAGGCTTTGGTGGGAGAGGGGTAAAGAGATTTTCCGTGTGTTTTGAGGAACTTTTGAACACAATTAACATCCAATAAAACAAAAATATTGAGAAGAGGAATGTAGCCGGTGAGATGACAGCCAGGCTTTCCGGTCTGGTGCTCTAGGATTTGCCAGGACAGAGATGCACTGCCCTGGAACCTGTACACATGATATCAGGATCAATAAACATTTCTAAGCAGTGATCTTTAGATCACTGATCAGACAGAAACGTAGTTTATCCCAAAGCCCCAGTACCACCCACTGGCAACACCAACTCCCCTTTGCAACCATAATGCTCAGCATCACCCAACTCCCACCTGTACCCAGAACTTCCAGCACCACCTACCGGCATCACCCACCTCACCTTGAAACCCAGGACCGCCAGCACCATCCATTGGCATTAGACCTTGCACCTGGCACCACTTGCCAGCATTACCCCCCCACACACACCTGCCCCAGCATCCAAGAACCTCACTAAAGATCTGTTTCTGCTTGCACTGGGCAGGCACCGGTGAAAGAGACTGGCTTTATTTCTGCCCTTGGGGGGAAGAAGAGGAGGTGGGGGGGTTTCTGGCTGCAGTGCTGGGGAGTACGTGTCCACTGAAGCCTGTGATCGTAGTGTGCAATCCACTCCACCCCTCTAACAATTACAGAGTGTTTTACATTTTCAAAGCACTGCCCTAATATTAACCAAACCTCCCCAGTACCCCAGGAAGATGTATGAGTATCAGTACCCCAGCTGGCAAAGGGGGAACTGGGTCACAGAGTTGAGGACCAACATGTTTAAATCTGGCTGTCTAAAGTCAGGCATTGTAAATCCATATTTAGGCTCCTAAAGAAGTGCCCTGAATTTCAGGCATGCTGGGTGCTGCCACTGATTGCAGGGGGAGCTGTGGGTGCTCAGCACTTCGGAGCCAGCACACTCGTATTTAGGCGCCCATGTTTGAAAGTTTTGGCTTTCACCTCTCAAAGGCTGTTTCCCCATCTGTAAAATGGAGGCAAGGATTCTCTGCCCCCTTTGTAAAGCAGCAGGTGAGCCCTGGGTAAGGAGGAGGGCATGCTGGCTCAGCAACTGTGGAGCAGAATTTCCAGTCATCACAGAACAGGCCAGAGGGAGAGAGTGGGGGTGGGGGATGAGCATGAGAGAATCTTAAAAATACAAGAAAAGGTCTGTCCCTTTGGCATTGTACTTGCATATTGCTTGTCTAATCCGGTTTATTTTATACAGAAATAACTTAATGGTAATACGAATGGGTAAGTACAATGAATGCAAAGGCCAGGGGTCGGAAAAGAGCTACAAGAATGATTCAAGGTCTGGAAGACCGGCCTCTCAGTGAAAACTCAGTCTGTTAATTGTCCAAGAGAAAGCTAAAAGGTGACTTGATTCTGATCTGTAAGGACCTCCAGGAGGTGAAGATTTCTGATCATAGAGGGCTCTTTAATCCAGCAGACAAGGCAGAACAAGAGCCAATGGATGGAAGCTGAAGCTGGATGAATTCAGACTAGAAATAGGGAGCACATTTGTAACGGCAAGGGTAATTCATCATGGGAACAGCTTATCCAGGGACGTGGGGCAGTCTCCGTCACTTGTGGTCAGTCAGGCAGCACTGGATGTCTTTTGGAGAGATATTCTCGAGCTCAACCAGAAGTTCTGGGCGTGATGCAGGAATCCCTGGTTGAGGTTGTCTGGCCTGTGCTACACAGGAGGTGAAAAAAGATCATCAGAATGGTCTTAAATGTATGAAGCAGTCACCAGCTGCCCCTTTGGACCCCCCCACACCATCAGCTTCCCCTATGTGCCAGCCCTGGAAAGAGCAGAGGATGAAAGGGGCTTCACTGTAGCCTCCCCCCACCCACCCCCAACAGTAATTAGGCCACTGCCCCCAGGATTACTGACACCTCCCCTTTCTTTTGCAGGGTCATATTTTTCTCCTCTGCTCTTTGTTGCAATCATCCTGGGGCTGCAGTGGCCCCGGGGGGCAGCAGCTTTCCCTGCCATGCCCCTCTCCAGTCTGTTTGCCAATGCCGTGCTGAGGGCCCAGCACCTCCACCTGCTGGCTGCTGACACATACAAAGAGTTTGTAAGTATCACGGGGTCGTGCCATTGGACTCCCATGTTATTTGAAAATGGGATCATCTTTCCCCACAAACACAGACATGTTCAGTTTGTGGAGTTCTCCCCAATCCTGGGCAGGAGTTCCAAACTCATTTATATCCAAATCTCCATATTCCCATACATCCCTCATGTCTTCCACCTTTCCCAGCAACTGCCTTTAGTCTCCTTCCTGCACCCGTCTCCTCCCTCTTCCTCACGTTTCCCTGCCCTCCCCGCCCCCCCATTCTCCTTCTCACCCTCCACATTTCCTTGTCCCCTCATGGTGACCAGCATTACAGTTCAGTTTCCAAAGCCCAGAGTGGCTCAGCCACCTTCACTAAGGGGAACCTGGCATCAGCGCCCCTGCAAGCCATGGGAGATGACACATCTTTACAAGACTTACTGTGTCCAAGGAATGTATAATTTACATACGGAGCTGGCAGACCTTCGGCTTTCCAAAATCATCTGGTTTTTGCTACCTTAGCTTGCAGAAATACAAACGGGATCACAGGCACCAACTTTCCCTGGCGCCGGTGGGCGCTCGCGCCCCCCCCCGCCCGACTCCACCCTTTGCCTGCCCCTGCCCCACCCCCATTCCAATCCCTTCCCCAAAGTCTCCGCCCCAACTCTGCCCCCTCCCTGCCCCTATTCGACCCCTTCCCCAAATCCCTGCCCCGGCCCTGCCTCTTCCCCAAGTGCACCGCGTTCCCCCTCCTCCCCTCTCCCTCCCAGGCTTGCCACACGAATCAGCTGTTTCGCAGTGCAAGCGCTGGAAGGGAGGGGGGAGAAGCAGGATGCGGCGGTACGCCCAGGGGAGGAGGCAGAAGCAGAGCGGAGGCGAGCTGGGGCGGGCCGGGGAGCTGCTGGTGGGTGCTAAGCACCCACCAATTTTTCCCCGTGGGTGCTCCTTTGTCCTTCCTTTGTCATGTCCTTCCTTTGAGAAGCTAAACTGAATATTGCATGTGTTATTTCATAGCACAGACCTAGTCAGAGGGTGATCTTTAGCCTTAGTAACTAGTTGGCCAACATGCTGGCTCATCAATGGAATTGCATGCCATTTCCCACCTGCCAGCCCTTCACAGCGGCTGTCACTTTTTGTTTCATTTTCCTATCTTGTTAACAGTAACTCTTCGGTTCAGCCTGGGGAGAAGGGTCCCAGGCCCCTTCCCAGGGCACGAGAAAGAGCAGTTCTCAGTGTGTTTGGGATGTTTTCACAGGAACGGACCTATATTCCAGAGGAGCAGAGGCATTCCAACAAAATTTCCCAATCAGCATTTTGTTATTCAGAAACCATTCCTGCTCCCACAGGAAAAGATGATGCCCAGCAGAAATCAGTAAGTTGTCTTCAACTGGCAAATACATTCTGGCAGCAGAGCCGCTTCTGAAAAGAGGCTTTCCAACAGGACTCTGCATTGTCTGAGGTAGCTCCTTAGTGCCTGCACAGTAAAACTATAGCTAAGCTAAACTGGGCTGGGCCTGGACAGTACCTGAAGAGGAGACCTCTGAGGATCAAGTTCAGGCTACTGCATGAAGTGCCCCAGCATGGTACTCTGGGGAGGTTGCTAACTTCCCAACGGGAGATAAAAGCAAAAGGCACTTAGCCACTTGTGCTCATTAACCATCCTGTGGCATTTTTCTGAGCTGGAGTTGTTCCAGGTGTCCTGGCCAAATTCTACTTTGGAGAATTCCAGTCTGTCTCTTTAAACTCCCCTTGTAGAATCATCAGGATTCCTCACTTCCTATCCCAAGCTGTCATGTAGTGTAGCTCTTAGATAGATGCCACATTCCACCTCCTTTGGGGGTAAAGCAATTCTGGCATATGTAAGGTGTGTAAAATGCTCTGGGATGAAGGGTGCTTTATGAGAGACACTGCTCTTTGCATCACCCTTTTCACCATGCGTGACCTTGAAGGGTACTGCATAGGGAGAGGACAGGCTTTGTTTTCAGCTATGGTATAAACTGTAACAAATCACACATCGGGAAGGCTTGGGCAGTATATTGTCCACACAGAAGAGAATTTCTGGGTGATACTCCCCAGACCACGTATGGCTTTATCTCAGTTTAAGCAAATCAGTGCTCCACAGTTCATTTCAGTCACATTCTGTTTCAGAGTGGAAAGCACATGCCTGTTGCTTAGAAGACACCTTTCCTGCAGAGCTCTGACCCCAATTTATTTTCATTTCAGGACATGGAGCTGCTTCGGTTTTCACTGATTCTCATTCAGTCCTGGTTAAACCCAGTGCAGTTCCTAAGCAGGGTGTTCACCAACAGCCTTGTGTTTGGCACCTCAGACAGAGTCTACGAAAAACTGAGGGACTTAGAAGAAGGTATCCAGGCTCTGATGAGGGTAAGCAGCAGCATGTGACATGATTACAGAATCATATGGCTCTCCTGGACTCCAGCAGACAGAGCTTTCTTGGGGGCTGGCTCAAGACTCGCCCAGGGACTAGGGACCATCCCAAACTTCCCCACTTCCTGCTCCAAATGCAAGCTGCATTTCTTTGACCTTCCTTCTCGAACATAAACATATGGCAACACGTACGTGTAGACCAGTGTTTTCCCCAAGAAATAAAATTATAGAGGTGGTGTTTGAATTTACAGGGGGGTTGGAAAACAACTAAATTGGCAACACGTTAACTAGTTGACCATTGGGGTAGGGGTATGAGGGAGGGGGAGGGGGGAGTGTACACTGTGTACAGATACAGAAGTGAAAAAAATCAAAACAAAATGCTCCCCTGCACACACTTCTCCCCCTGGGAGAGGATGAATGAACAAACACATGACAGATGCGAGTCACATTGCTTACTGCAGTACTGGAAGGCTTTCAGATACTATGGTGATGAGTGCGGTATAAAAACCAATAAAGAATAGAATAGTATAGAACAGACTAGAAAGTCCTTTCCAAGCCTATCATTAAACAATATTTTAATAGGATATATCTGTCTTGTAAGTGGCACTATAAGAAAGATTGCTATATCCCTTGACAAAATACTTTGTCAGTGTTAATGTAAATATGCCCTGTAATATTTTGCAAAAACAAACAGAAGTTGAGAAAATTATCAGTTGCAGAGAAAAAAAAAAAAAAGAAGCAAATTTATGTGTCCCCAAGCAATCTTAACTCCACCGCAGCAATGGTAGGCGCCTAGTTTTTTCAGTATTCTGCTGATATTCCTAACTATGTATAACCTAAATAATCATTGGCATGAGCTTGCACCTGCTTGTTTCTTTGTCATTTCCATGCTCAAGTGGCCACATGTGAGATGCACTGATACAAGAAAGTCTTTCTATAATACAATCCATGGAGAACACAGTCTAAACTTCACACTGGGGGACCCGATTCTCCATGCCCTTACACGTGTGTTACACTCTGCTGAAGCTGATCGTTACAACAATATCAAAAAGCTGTAAGGAGTGCAGGCTTCTGTCCTGAAATATTTGTGTTCCATCACTGGGAGTATGTAGTTTTATAAAAAGAGGGATCATCTGTCCCACCCCTTCCCTGGAGAATCAATGCTTCTCAGCTCAGCTGCTTTATAGTGGTTCTACTCTGAAAAGTGCCTTTTTAAAATGTGCAGGTGTTTATGGTCTCTCAGGGATTTCGAGTGTGCTCAGTTTATAAGTAAAAGGTGGGGGATTTTTCCCACACTGCCAGCACCGCAAACTCAGCCTGGGCTCTGAAACCCAGATCTGTAAGAATATTTAGGTGCCTAAAGATGCAGACAGCAGCTGAGTGGGATTTTCAGAAGTGTCTTGGGAGTCCTATGAGAGTTAGACACCTACATATCCAGCTGCATCTTTAGGCAACTAAAAAAGTCTGGCCCTGAGAGTCAAGCTGGGTTCTTTCCTTCTCACACATCAACAGCACTCCACGTACACCTCTACTCAATTCCTGGGCAGAGTGATGCTGAGAAGCCAGTCAAATAATCAGGTTTCCATTTCAAGCAGTGCTTACCTGGCCAAAAAAGCTAAAAAAGCTCCAGCTGGTGCACAAAGCTTTTCAGTCAGAAGCAGCAGGAGCCTGGTAACATCAGCTAAAGATTTCTCCACTGGGACTGCAAAGTGTTAAAGAGAAAAGAGGTTTATTTCACCAGCTCACCAAAGTGAGCGCTTTGGCCAGCTGTGTTACTGAGACACCTAGGTAGTCTCCAGCCTGTTTCATACATCCATCCACTCACCATTGTGTCTTGTCCGGGGCCCTGTCTAGCTTTCTTCCTGAAGACTATAGTTTAATACGTCCACAACCGTACATGTATAATTGCTCTACTTGTGAAAATGTGTATGCGAAAGAATGTGCACAAGTGGAACATGAGCTCTGAACAGCAACACGGTTCTCACCTCCTTTATGGCTAGATGGGAAACTATCTTCTGTTGTAACATGGGGGGCTGGATTGAGAACCATGGATTTTAAACATACTGTATGTGCTTGTAGTCTACAAGAAGAAAATGGAACGGGGGAGGGAAGCAGTAGGTAAGGGACCATCCCAAGGTCTACAGGAATCCCAAAGAGGAGCTTGCATCCTGCGCACCCTTTGGTAAAATTCATAGAGGGCGATCCACATCACCTACTCCCTTCTGCCCCTCCTTTCCACCCCACCTCCCTCCCAGCTGCCTGAGGGGGTGTGCTGGGTTTGACAGCAGCTCCTCTCCCCAGCACACTCCCTCTCGCAGGCCAATGCTAATTCAAAAGCACCGATGCAAGTGTGCTAAGCCCACACCACACCACCTGCCTAAATGCTGTCTCCGGCTTTCTGTGCCTGTGACAGCACCTTCTTCAGGAGTGCTGAGACTGGGAGGCACTGAGCTGTGCTGGCACCTTGGCATTTGTTTCCATGGTCCCAGGCCTTTGGGCTCTGATATGCCAGCCCAAGAGCCGTTCCCTCCCATCTAAGCTGCCATGTCCCCACAGGAGCTGGAAGATGGAAGCCTCCGGGGATTTCAAGTCCTCAGACCCACTTATGACAAATTTGACATCAATCTCCGGAACGAAGACGCCTTGTTAAAAAACTACGGCCTGTTGTCCTGCTTCAAGAAAGACCTGCACAAGGTGGAGACCTACCTGAAACTGATGAAGTGCAGGCGCTTCGGAGAGAGCAACTGCACCATTTGATGGCAGAAACACTGTTCTTTTATCCCAGTACACAACGAGGTTAGCGTGCTCCTGCCTGTGTGACCCCCTTTGTTAAGAGAACCTCAGAGGCTGATGTGCCTGTGAGTAAACCTAGTCTCCCGCTAGCTGTGGTGTCTTGGAGGGGCTGCATAATGATGCTCCTCCATCTTTGTAAAGAAAATCCTTTTCGCCTACAGAGAATAAACGAGCTAGAAGCCCAGCATTGTGCCGCAGCATCTCATTGGGCGGGGCGCTTGCTTCCCCTGGCTTCGTGCAGAGGAGCCGTCTGAGGACCCATGGCCCGCGGGACAGCAGCCAGAACCCCGCTCCCACGTGCTGGTGCTCGTGTTTCCATGGGCTGGAGGGGCCTGGCAGCTCGGCGGTGTTCGCCGCCAAGGGGGGCGAGGCCGTGAGGCCCACGCGGCTGTAGCCGACAGAGCCTGGGCGTGTGGAGGGCGGCAGGGCAGGGCCGGGCAGAGGCCAGGGCAGCCCAGGCAGTTGTAAGGCGCCTCACATCCACCGCTTTCCGCCACTGACAGCGCCGGCTCGCAGGGCCCTGCTCGCCCCGGACCTCAGAGCGGCGCGCTGGCCTGGCCGGGGGCAAGGAAGGGGCTGGCAGCTGGCAGGGCCTGGGGTCAAGGGGCGGCGCGAGGCAGCCAAGGCAGGAAGAGGCGGGGCCAGGCGGAGCAGGAGGCGGGGCTTAGGCCGGGTCAGGCGAGGCGGAGCCGGGCCGGGCGGTGGTTGGCTGGAGGCGGAGCCGGGCCGGGCGGTGGTTGGCTGGAAGCGAGGCGGGGCGGGGCGGGGCCGGGCGGTGGTTGGCTGGAGGCGGAGGCGGAGCCGGGCTGGGCCGGGCGGTGGTTGGTTGGAGGCGCCGCTGTTGCTGACGCCCCGCATGGCGCTGGCGGCCAGCCCCGAGGTGCTGGAGTTCCGGGTCCCTACGGAGAGCGGCAAGGCCCTGCTGGTCTGGGGGCTAGAGGAGGGGGCGGAGGTGAGACCCGGGGCGGCGGCGCTACGCGCTGCGCCGGCACCGCTGGACCCCGGGGACTCCCGCTCCGTGCGACGGACTTGCCGTGGGACGCCCCCCCCCCCCACGGGCCGGGCGTGCCCCCGGGTCACGGCTAGAATCGCTGATGCCCAGGGGGAAGTGGGGAGATAAAATCTCCGGGTTCAGGTTTTACGGCGGGTGCCAACTTTCTACTGGCACAAACCCGGACACCCGCCCCTCCTCCGAGCGCCTTCCCCCTCCCGTCGCTCGCTCTCCCCCCCCCCTCACTCATTTTCACCGGGCTGGGGGTGGGGCTGGGGATGAGGGGTTTGGGTGTAGGAGGGGGCTCTGGGCTGAGGCATGGGGTTGAGGTGCGGGGGGGCCTGGTGTGGGCTCTGGCTGGGGCTGAGGATGAGGGGTTTGGGTGTAGGAGGGGGCTCTGGGCTGGGACTGAGGGGTTTGGCGGGCAGGAGGGGGATCAGGACGGGGCAGGGGTGTGGGAGGAGGTAAAGGCTCTGGACTGGGGGGTCGGTTCTGGGGTGGGTGCAGAAATGGGTTCAGGGTGGGGGTGCTCTGGGTTTGGGCAGGAGGTTGGGGTATAGGGAGGAAGGAGGGCTCTGTCTGGGAGTGTGGGTTCTGGGGTGGGGCCAGAAATTGGGGGTTTACGATGTGGGGGGATCAGGGCAGGGGGGTGGGGGGTAAGTGCTCCAGCTGCGGGTGCAGGCCCTGGGGTGGGGCTGGGGATTAGGGGCTTGGGGCATAGGAGGATGCTCTGGGCTGGGACTGAGGGGGTTGGAGGATGGGAGAGGGATCAGGGCTGGGGCAGGGGGTTGGGGCTACGGGAGATGCTTATCCCAGGCAACTGCCAGAAGCAGTGGCATGTTCCCTCTCCAGCTCCTACGTGGAGGCGTGGCCAGTGGCTCTGCGCACTGCCCTGTCCTCAGGCGCCACCCCCTCAGCTTCCATTGTCCACGGTTCCTGGCCAATGGGATCAGCGGAGCTGGCGCTTGGGCGTGGGCAGCGTGTGGAGCCCCTTGGCTGCCCCTACGCTTAGGAGTTGGAGGGGGCACATGATGCTGCTGCTTATGGGAGCCATGGCAGGCAGAGAGCCTACCTTAGCCCCACTGCACTGCCGACCAGACTTTTAACGGCCTGGTCAGCAGTGCTGACCGGAGTCACCAGGGTCCCTTTTCGACCAGGCATTCTGGTTGAAAACCAGACACCTGGCAACCCTATTTTTACACCGGTCTCTCAATGTTATAGGTGATAATTTTCTCAATCAAAAAGTGGTGTTGTACATGATGCAAGAGAATACATTAGACCTTGTCATGCCAGTACCGGGTTTACAATGGCTCCGGTGGCACCAGGTCCACACTTGGAAGGGGCCCACAAAGGGTTAATCCAGCCTGGGCCACAGCCCAGCAATGTGAAGAGTCAGCAACTTCCCAGCACCAGCTGAAACACTCAGCTGCCTGGGGGAGCGCAGTGTGCAGGTGCAACAGGGATTGGGTGTTGCAGGGTATGCTGGGAGTTGTAGTTTGCACGCTGCTGTGTTCCGCTGGGCCCCTGGGACCTGCACTGGCAGCTGCACTACTAGTCCCAGAATTCCCCGTGCCATGCTATCAGCCACCCTAGCTGAAGTGGGCGGAGCGGACCAAAAAGAATCCCAAGCAAGGAAATGGTCTGGTGCAGGGCAAGGATTCCTGGCGCTAATCCCCCTGCGCCTTCCCTCCCCTTGGGGCACAGGATGGGAGCTCCTGGCTCCCCCATTCTCCTGGGGCGATGGGGAGCTGGGGGCAGCTGCGGTGCTGTGACTCCCGGGTGGTGTGCAGCCCCCCAGTGACCATGATGCCCAGAGGCTCCTGGGTACTGTCTCGACCCTGCAACTTCAGGATTGGGGGTGGTTGTCCGTGGTCTCTGGGAGCAGCAGGGGTGGTGACAGCAGGGCTTGTCAGTGCTGGCTGCTGCACCCCCTGTCAGTGGGAATGCCCAGAAACTGCCCCCCTGCAATCCAGGGAGGGAGTGCAGTGTGGTTTGGGGGGAAAGGGGCAGTTGTGGGGCAAGTCCGGGTGCGATATAAGAGCTGGTGGTGACTCCATGGGGGTGTAGGAGAAGCAGGGTGTTAAGGTGGGAGTTGGTGTGGCGGGGGGAGTCTGGGTTGGCTCAGTGCAGGGGGATAGTAGAAGGGAGGGAGGTGACAGCCCTGGGGTGAAAGTGGGGGGGCGGGGGGCGGGCAGTAGCAGGGAGATTGAGGAGAGCCCTTCTTTGGGGGTTAGTTGTGTGGGGTGGGGGAAGAGCCCAGGTCTGAAGGTTGGTGTAGGAGTTTGAGGCTGGATTGTGGTAGCCTTTGGAGTAAAGTGTGTGTGTGTCTCTCTCTCTGTGGCTCTTTCTCCCTGCAAAAGATGGGCACCAGCAATTTTCCTCCCGACACTCCGCCCCAAAGTTTTGTAAACATTATTGTACCAAAGTAGAAAATACAGCTTTCAAAAAATGTATTCATGAAACATAACTTTGGGTGGTGGTGGGGAGGAGATGCAGGTGTGACACCACTGACTGCTACATCCAGGATTAATATGGCTCATAAGTGTGCTAATTAAGCACTTATGTTCAGGGGCCCAAGCAGGCCCTGAGTGTTTAAACAAAAGGACAAAATTAACAACCCAGTTTCACACAAACCAAATTCAGTGGTATTCTGGGTACATTGCTGTTAGCCCAGCTTGTTCTCTATGGGCTGAGTGGAGGTCTCAATCAAGTGTGGCTTCAAATATCTTACTTTGTTTTTGAATAAATGTTTTCAACCCCATCCTGGCAATACCACATTTACTATGGCATCAATGGCGCTGTCACGCCGGGCCCACACTTGGAAGGGGCCTATCACAACCACAGGGGGACCCACAAATATGTTTGGTGCCGGGCCCACAAAAGGTTAATCCGGCCCTGGTCATGACACACAGGAATTAATCACAGAACTAAAAATTAATAGTAACTTAGGTACAAGTGATCATGACTTGACTACATTTGTATTGTGCAAACAGAATGAATGCCAGATGGGGGGCTTTAAATGGGCCAATTTCACAAAGCTGAAAAGAGTTATGAGCCAGATTGTCTGGGAGGGAAGAATTTAATCAGAAAAATGTGAGTGATAATTGGGAAGTGAATTCTTTAAGAATGCTTTACTACCTGCCCTAAAAGCCACAATCAAGGAAGTAGGCCATAATTGGTTTAAAAAAACAAGCTGGTTTAGAGGGGAAGTAAAGGCAGCTATATATATATATATATATATATATATATATATAAATAAATGGAAGAAAGGGGAAGTTGATAATAATGAATATGAATCACAAGCTAGGAGTTGTAGAAAATTAGTAGGGGAGCAAAGGGGACAGAATGAGAAATCTACGGCCAGGAGAGTTCAGGACGCTGAGGAATTTTTAAAGTATATTAGGAACAAAATAATCTTAATAATGGTATTAGGCCATGACTAGATGGCAATGGTAGAATTCTCAATAGTAATAAGAAAAAGTTTTTAGGGAGGAAAAACAGATGATAGCATCATGTCATATGATAATACTCTTCCCATTCTACTAGTATCTCAGGAGGGTGTTAAACAGCAGCTACTTATGTTAGACATTTTTAAATAAGTCCATATAGCTTGTTCCAAGAGTATGGTGTTTTTGTTATTTTTAAAGCTGGCTGATGACTTGATGGACATTTAATGTTGATTTTCAATAGTCTTGGGACACGGGGGAAGTTCCAGAAGACTGGAAGAAAGCTACTGTTGTGCTAATATTTGTAAAGGTTAAATGGAAAGACCTGGATAATTATAGGCTTGTCAATCTGAAACTGATCCTGGGCAAGATAATGGAGAGGCTGATATGGGATTTGATTAATAAAGAATTGATGGAGGTTAATAGGATTAATACCAATCAACATGGGTTTCTGGAAAATAGATACACCTCAACCCTGATATAACGTTGTCCTTGGGAGCCAAAAAATCTTACCGCATTACAGGTGAAACCGCGTTATATCGAACTTGCTTTGATCCACCGGAGTGCGTAGCCCCGCCCCCCCGGAGCGCTGCTTTACCGTGTTATATCCGAATTCGTGTTATATCGGGTCGCATTATATCGGGGTAGAGGTGTACTGTCATACTAACTTGATAACTCTCTTTTTTTTAAATGAGATTACAAGTTTGGTTGAAGGTGTTTGACTTGGAGGTATAGTGCATTTTGATAATTTTATATCATTCTGGTTTTTAACATAAAACACTTGTGACGGGATCCCCAGGGTGCAGCCTGGAACTGTGGGACCGCTGTGCCCCCTTAATTC